TTTTTTTTTTTTTTTTTTTTGGTTGAGAGGGGATATCTCTAGATCTGCAACCAAGTACCAGAAAGCCCCAATGGCAAGCAAACCCCAGACACCACTTAGGCAATTCACTGGGCAAGAAGAGAACCACAAGTCCTGCCAGAGGATCCACCCCCGTTCCCTCCCTGTACAGGTCGGCCTTCAGCATGTAACTGCCGAAAAAAGTAACGAACAGTGCTACCGGCCACGGCTCAACTTTTAAAATGATCCCCATATTTCTCTACCATCTTTGGCCTTGAATCATTCTGACAAGGGCAGGAGAGAAAGGAGCCACTACCGCCCATGGCTGACCCTCCCTGCCAGTGAAGAGCTGGAGACAGTTTTGGTGACAGCGCTCCTGGGTAGCAAGGACCGACTGGGAGGATTACACAAGAAACATCCGCATTTCACAAGCCTTGAATCTTTTGGCTTGCCAAGGGCTGTCATTACACACTGATCTCTGCTCACGGGGGGAAAGAGATCTTCCTGACCATAAATCTTTCACAAAGCAGGTGCCGCACTTGCCCCTGGGGTGATAGCCATGCTCTCCAAGACTCCGAGGGCACGCCCAGAATTTACTCGGCCGTGCAGAAAGGGCCGCTGCCAGGTTTCTCTGCGGCGAGAAACGGCCCACCGTTTGCGGAGTCTGCGGAGTCCCAAAGTCCTCCGCCAATGGGCACAGAGTCTGCCAGTGCGGGCGGTCAGCTGCGCAGCACAGAAGCACCATCACGGGCCAAGGGTACTGCAGGCAGAAGGCAGGGAGGTAGCTTGTCGGGGGCATGGCCCAGTTTCATGAGAGCTCACGGGCTCCTACTACAGGATTTGGGGGGGCGGCTATCGGTCAGAGTGTAAGTTAGGGAGCTCACTGGGCCCAGGCACAGGTGTGGGGAGGCTGGAGAGAGGCCGTGTCACTGAAAGGACAGCAGGGGATAGCAGATTTGAGAAGCATTTGGGATGGAAAGGGCTTGTCGTTCAATTGGAGGCGGAAGCATCCAGAGGACCCCCAAGTCTCTGACATGGGAGCGGGAAGCACAGGAATGCTGCCCCTGCAGGGGCAGGGTCGGGGGGAACACAAGAAAAACAACAGGTACAAGTGAGGAGACAGAGAAGCCCGGCAGACACTGAGACACACACAATTGTGTGCACGGGAATGGATTTGTGGGTCTGGGGCTCACAAAGAGGTCTAGGCTGGAGATATTTGCAGACCAGGTGCAGACCGAAGGATGCGGAAGCACAAGATAGGACATCCTGGGGGAACAAGAACAGTGAAAGGGGGCCTAGGATGGAAGTCTGGAGACGGCCAGGTATCAAAGACTCAACCAAGGAAAAGAAGCCAGCAAAGAAACAGCTGTAGGGACAGGGAGAGAAGTGCCAGCCATGGGCAGGGGAGAAGGGCTCACCAGCGCCGAATGTCAGGGACACCGGTTACATTTTTACTGCAAGGAAAATGCTGTACACAACTTTTTTAAGGGTCAGTCACTTTTTAGGAGTTAATTCAAGCCTCAATAAAACCACCCCTCCAGGGGCGCCTGGGTGGCTCAGTCAGTGAAGCGTCTGCCTTCGGCTCGGGTCATGATTCCAGGGTCCTGGGAACAAGCCCCAAATTGGGTTCCTTGCTCAGGAGGGAATCTGCTTCTCCTCTCCCTCTGCCCCTCCGCCCTGCTTATGCTAATTCAAATAAATAAACAAAACCATCCCTCCAAGTCATAAGACAACAGAGAATTACAGAAGTGTGCAGGGAACCCATAAAGTCATCATTTCCTTAATGGGGCTGTCTATGAAGCTGCCTGCCACCACACAGTCATGATAGAAAAGAAGGAGTTTAAGGGAGAGCATCAAGTAAAAACTGCATAGCGGCACTCCATAATTGAGTGTTTCTCCGTTATGTCAAAAATTTCACACACATCCTTGATTTGACGTAGCTCTCCAGATGCTCTCCCTCCTTCCGTAGGCAGCCCTGTGAAGAACAACTGAATGGGATTCTTCCACACTTCATCATTTTAAATGGCCACCTTAATGCTCATGTTGACTTCCAGGTGGACATTCTGTCCAGACTCAATGCCCTTCACCTGGCTCCTTGAACAGTTTGTCAGCATCCTGCTGGAGAGGGGTAGGAATACCACAGTACTGCAGCGCTCAGCGAGAGACATAATGGGGAGGAGAATGCGTGGCCATAGGGGGAGTACTCTAAAGACAATGGGAGCCCCACCTGTTATTTAAATGCTCTAGAAGCCGCATGAAAAAGTAAAAAGAAACAGGTGAGGGACACCTGGGTGGCTCAGTCAGTTAAGCGGCTGCCTTCCGCTCAGGTCATGATCCCAGGGTCCTGGGATCAAGTCCTACATTGGGCTCCTTGCTCAGTGGGGAGCCTGTGTCTCCCTCTCCCTCTGCCTGCCACTCTGCCTACTTGTGCTCTGTCAAATAAATAAAATCTTAAAAAAAAAAAGAAACAGGTGAAATTAATTTAATAACATAGTTTACTTAACCTAGTAGGCCCAAATAATTATCATTTCAACAGAGTCAATACACGAACTATTAAGGAGATACATTACTTCTTCTCCCCTCCTACTACTTCTTTGAAATCCAGTGTATTTTACACCTAAAGCGAATCTCAATTTGCACCAGACCACAGTTCAAGCATGCAATAAGCCACATGTGGCCAGTGGCTGCCACACCACCCAGGTTGGGTCTAAAGGGACTCGATGTAAAGGGAGAGTTCCAATTCAATGGGAAAATCTCTAAGAAAGCTGCCCATGCTGGAGTTTTCCTGAAACTCTGCTGAGATGAAGGGAAGACAGTTTCCTTGAATGCTGTTCGTAATTTTCAATAAATACTCCCTTGTAAAATCTCAGAAAAATGTCAGCAGGGCTGAGACAACTGGCAGGGGAGAAGGGTGCATGGTGTGGCCTTGGGGAAGCAGGTGTCCGGCCAACAGGCCTGTCCGCATCAGCCGTACCAACACCAAGGCCCAGTTTCTAACCCCATTGTTTCTTCTGGTGTTTTTCTTTTCTTTCTTTCTTTTTTTTTTTTTTAATACTCCAAGAGCCCTCTGAGAAAGGCAGGATCTCTCCCAGATGAAGAAATGGAGGGCCAGGCAATGTATATTACTTGCTCATTCCTGGTCACAGCTACCAGACCTGGACCCAGAACCCAGGCCTCTCCCCTGCTCCCGGCTTCTTCAACAACCAGCTGGTCAGAAACAGCCAAAAATCCACAGGAAGGCCAAAGTAAATATCATCTGAATCACTGAACAAGTGGCCACCTAATGACATTTTAAATAACACCTCCCTTTTGTATAGAGCTTATGAGTTTCCAAAGCTGTTTTGTGCACACGTCTGGTTGCCACTAAGGAATGATATGGGACTGCCCTAAGAAACATTCTAAAGATGCCCAACTCTGGCCCAGAAAGACTGGCTGGTCCAAGGTCACCCAGGCCACTTAATACCGCATCCAACATCTTCCTTCCCACTACACACGATGCCTCCCCAATGACGCCGTTTTCTTTTAAAATAAAATTTTAAAATGTCAAGACTACTTAAAAAAGGTATTTTTGTTGTTTTCTCAAAACCAGTGGGTAACCTAATGATAGGGTACAGTTTTAATCAATCACAAATGGGACTTTAGTACAGCACCTTCCTCCAACCCCACCGGGACTCTTCGAGAGGCCTGAGGGCATTCTTGGCCATCCAACGTCCTGGTTACAGCCAACGAGACCCCTTCCCTTATTAATCAAATGTTCACAGACACACCTGTGGAAGGATAGCATAAAAGTGTGTGCTGGGTCAAAGAAACCATCCTTTTCCTGGCTTCCACCCTGGCTGGACAGAAAGAACAGCTACCTGTGGGGTCTGGCCTTTGATTTATTTCATACACTTCATGGTTTAGGCAAGCCTACCAATTTGGGATTCCTTGGCTCTTCATGACTAGCTAGAATACATGAGCTCCTTGGGTCTTTAACTGGGCCAACCATTAAATAATAGCTATTTATAGCTACCACACTGACTTCTAAACCAGGGAGAAGAACCTTCCTGGCCAACATACCTAAATGTTGCTGAAAGCAACACAGCAAAGGCCCAGACTTGCCTTTTAATACCAAACAACCGGGTCTCCAGGTAATTGATCACAATAATTCAAGAGTTTGGTTATACTCAAGAGAAAAATAAGCCTGTTGCTGATAAATAAGCAGCTTCAAAATATCACCCCGGACCCTGGAGAGCAGTGAACACACTTCAAAATTCTTTCACTAGGCGATTTCAGGAGATCTGAACAACTCTTTGGAGGAAAAAGGTAGAAAAAAAGGAAATGGAAGCCCAGGTGTAAAAGTGCACCCACTACACAGCTACTTGCAAGTACAACCTGATTTGGGGATTCCTGGAAACTGGTCCAGGTGTCTCCCACCTTGGCGAGGTGCTCCATCAGAAACCGGCACACCTAAGGATCATGACCATCCCTGGAGACCAAGGATGGGGTGCAAAGTCCCCACTTTCACAGGATGTGAATCGATTTTTGACTTTCCTTTAATTCAACCATATTCCAAGTAGATTCATACTAAGGAAGTCCCACCATACCAAAAAAAACATCTTTTCCCACAAAGGATGAATGAGTCGATACATAAGCAGCCCCTGACTGCTGGGGCTGAGGCACCTCCAAAGCACACCAGGTCACCTTTCTCATCAGAATCCAAAGCTCAAGGGCAGCAAGCTCCTGGCCCAGAGGGGTGGTGGATTATTTCTAGGACACGATGCGGATGCTCTTGATGGCAGCCACGCCTCAGTCCTGCATTCCCTGAGTTCCCCAGATGCAAAAGGAAGGCAACCAAGACCCCCGCCTGAACCCCACGGGTGGCCTTGTCCTCAGTGCAACACAACCGCACCCTCCCAGCAGAACCCCCAGCAGAAGCCACGCGTTCAGAAGAGGAGGGGGGGGCGAGGGAGAGCAGGAGGGGAAAGAGCAGCAGAAGGAAGCCCCAACAGCGTCATCCTTACTTTTCTGGCAACGGTTTGTAGTCCAGCAACGATAGTTGTACTCGTTGTTGATGGTTGTCTTCTCACACAAGGGCTTCTCCTCCATTGTCCCCGGACACAGGTCCCCGCATTCCTTTGGGGGTTTGTTGCCCACGATGTAGTTATTGGACACGGCATCCAGGATCAGGGACCAGTCCACCGTGGAGAGGTAACAGAGGTCGGCATTCTTCTCAATCCTGATGGCCCCCCGAGTAATGTTCCTCAGATTGTAAAGCCCAATATCCTTGAGATTGGTCATCTCAAAGATGACCAGGGCGTAGTTGTAGAAGAGCTTCCAGCCGCGGATGACCGTGAGGTTCGGGAAGAGGTCCCCAAGGCTCTCAAGGCCGGCCACGCGGAACAGCAGCAGGTACTCGGTGATGACCGTGAGCTTGGGGAAGCGGTAGCTGCGGTAGTCCTCTGCCTTGGAGATGAGCAGGATGTGGAGGTAGCCCTCGATCACCGTGCAGTTCTCCAGACGCTTCAGCTGCTGATAGTCGTTGCGGATGTCGATGCCCGGCCCGCAGACTGAGGGGAGACAAGAGGGCAAGGGCGGGACATGTCTGAGTTACAAGGAAATCGTTTTTAGAACTATCTCCCAACCCACAATATGGCCAGTTTTCAGGTCACCTATAGTATTATGATGAAGGAAAGAAGACTCTGTTCTTTGCTGCAGACTAACGTTAGGTATATAGGCTGTCAGCCGCCATTCACGAAGTGTCTGCCCTGGGCCAGACATCGTGCAACACACTCAGTGACCATGGGAGATGTCACCCCCATCCTACTTATGTGTAAACCACAGCTTAGAGCCCAGGGTCACACAGGGGCACAGACGAGAGTCAAGGTTACACAGTCAAGGCTCCCTAGCTGCCAGGCTGCAAACTCCCCATGCCTCCTGCACAGCCCCGGTGCCCAAGTCTGAACAAACAGCTCAGCAACCAAGAAACAACAACTTAGTACTGCATTCAGCCTCAAGGACACCAAGCAATAACGTCTACACTGGAGAACAGTCACTGTGACTTACAAAGTAGGGACCCAAAGAAGCAAGTTCTCACATTTCTTGCTACCATCTGATACGGGCCAGGTGGCCTTGTGTTCTTCCCCAAAACTGTATGAATATAGATACAAAGCCTAATTTAACAGAAAGACAAGAATGCATGATTTCTAAGAATAAAAGAGGTATGCCATCTCAACTTCAATAAAATATTTTAAGAAAACAAGCTTCCTATAGAAAGGTTTGGTAAAAGATAGCAAAAAAAAAGACAGTAAAAATCATCAATATCTCAGCATCCAAAGATAATCACTATTAACAGTGTCTATACCACTGATCCTTTCTCTAGAAATAATTTAATTAAGGTAAAGGAAGTCAGACAAGAATATCTTCCTGCACTTCATATAAATATTTTACCAAGTCAATAAATGTCCTTCTATGTTATCACTTTAAGGAGATCGTAATTCTAGGGTACAAATATGCACCATGAGTTCTCTTATTTTTTTTTAATTTTTTTTTATTTGAAGAGAGAGAGAGCGAGCATGAGCAGGAGGAGGAGCAGAGGGAGAAGGGGAGGGAGATCATCTCCAGCTGACTCCGCACTTAGTGCAGAGTCCAACACGGGCCTTGATTCCATGACCCAGAGATCATGACCTGAGCCAAAACCAAGAGTCAGATGCTCACCAACTGAACCACCCAGGTGCCCCTAGTTCTTTTATTGTTTTAAACTAATCCCCTATCGTTGGATATTTAGTTTTTCACATCATAAACACCACTCCAGTGAACATTCTCGGCAAATATCCAAGACTATTTTCTTGGGATAATCTCTAGAAGTAGAATTGCTGGACCAAGGCATCTGCAGATTTGAAGAGCTTTTGATACAACAGGCTCAATACTGGAAATTTTATTTTTTAAAATACTAGACATGTACACAGACACAAACCTTGGTTAATATCCTTTCTTACGATTTAATAATCTCAAGCCTTCCATTAAAACTTCTCAGAGTCAAGTTTTCTGATTGATGTAATTCATTAATTTCTGGAGCACGCAACACGTATGATGCTGTAAGAGATGCAAAGACGCCATGTCTGCCCTCTGAAGAGACTCGTGGTGAAGGCCAGGAGCTAAGACCCATGACAAACAATTGCCGTATGAAGCAGAAGGTGGTCAGTGGTGTGCACACTGAAAATCCACTCTAGATGTGAATGGAACTAAGCAGGAGAGACAGGGGGTAGCCTTGGAGCTTCCTGCAGAGAGAAGGTCCTTTCTATTGCAGCGCCCAGGAAAGCTCTACGCGTGCCCTGGCTCCTGTAAGATGGGTGGGATTTAAAACTTGGGTATTAAGGGGCCCCTGGGTGGCTCAGTTGGTTAAGCATCTGCCTTCAGCTCAGGTCATGATCCCTGGGTCCTGGGATCATGCCCCGCAATGGGCTCCCTGCTCAGCAGGAAGTCTGCTTCTCCTTCCAACCCTCCCCCCTCTCGTGCTCTCTCTCAAATAAATAAATAAAAATCATTAAAAAAATAAAACTGGGTATTAACATTCCAGAGGCCAGAGAAAAGGGAGAACAAGATATACTCGAGGGACAGCAACACTGATGGCCGGGGATGTAGAGAAGAGGAAATGAGTTTGGTAGAGTCCAAGTCATAAAAGGTAACAGGTGGGGATGGAAACTTTCATCTCAGGAATGAGCCCCCTCTCAAGACTCTTGAGTGCAAGAGAAGTCCAAGGGAGGCCTTTTTTGGAGGAATATTCTGGTATATAAGACAATATAAGACAGAATCAAAGTGGAGCAGGTGAGGGAAAAGGGGAGAGAGGTCCAGCAGGGCTTAGAGCCATCGACAAGAAATGGACAGAGAATGGCAGGCAGGGGATGGGGTCCGGGGGACCCAAGAGCTGAGAAGCGGGCAAGGCTTGAGAACCTAGAACCTGAAACCTCATTTGGTCCAATTCCCTTCTTTTACTGATAAGAAAATCAAGCCTCTACAATACAGAAGAGAAGGGGAGAAACCAGCACTCTAAGAAGCTCTGAGAACGTTCCATGCCGGACAAAGGCTGTGAAGGGAGCTTTGTTTCATTTTGTTTCACCTCATGTGATGCTTTCAATAATACCTCACACTACGTAATATCATCGCCACTTTGAAGGTGAGGAAGCAGATTTGGAGAAGTCAAGCCATCCTTCACGGTAAAACTTGACACATGGTTTCTGGATAGTCCCAGCTCTTAGCATCCTCACCAACTGGTTACCTCCAAACCACTCCAACGAAGCTTCTGCCCCAATCATGATACCGAACCACTCTTTGCAAAGCCCCTGATCACATTATCAAAGCCAATGACCGGTCCCTGTCCTCATGTGACTTGACCCTTTCAGCCACTTGACATTGCCTCCTTCTTGAGGCCTGATTCCACACACCCACTTCCCCTCTTCTCCTACCTGACCTCTAAGTGCTGACCTCTGGCCTCAGCCTCCCCCTCTCGGTCCTCTCACGTGGACAAGTGCCACCCACACCCTGGATGATTGTCAAATGCATGTCATTGGCAGCTCTAGAGTTGCACATCCATCTGCGTACTCAACATCTCCATTTAGGTGTCTATAATTCACTCTCTTCCCCCCACAAAATCCGCCTCCTGCACTCTCATAGCTTGGTCGGTGGCCCTCCCATTCTCCGAATTGCACGGGTCAAAAATCTAAGGGTCATTCCTGATTCTCGTCTCCCCTTACACTGCACATACCCAGTCCTCTTGGGCCTTGTGCTAACCGCAGAGTCAGACAAGAGAGACACACGCTTTATGTTCTCACTTACACGTAGAATCGAAAAAAGCCAAATGCATAGAAAGATGAGTTAGAATGGTAGTTGTAAGGGGCTGGAAGGTGGGGGAAATGGGGAGGTGTTGGTCAAAGGGTACAAACTCTTAGCTCAAAGATAAATAAGATCTAGGGATCTAAGGCACAGCGTGGTGACTAGAATTGACAATACGGTATTCTTGGAAGTTGTTAGAGTAGTAGATCTTAAGTATTATCTCCACACACACAAATTATACCGATGTAAGCGGACGGAGGTGTTAACGAACTTTATCATGGTAATCATTTTGCAAAGCATACGTGTATCTAATCATCACATTGTACACCTTAAACTTATATACATTAGTGTTAATAATATCTCAGAAAAGCTGAAAAAAGAGTCCTCTTGCCACCAGCTTCCAAGCCTGTGGGAAGCTCCCCTGGGGGAGCTGACGCCCCACTTCTTCAGGTCACTGATCCTCGACCGGCCCGTTCACTTCCCTCCCAGTGCATGTCTGCCCTCCTCTGGCCCTCTTCTGAGCCCGGGGTCTCTCCCTCTGGTCTCTCCCCCTGCAGTGTCGGCTCCAGGAGGAGGGAGAATTACTGTCAATCTCCCCCACAATGATGCCCATGCCCCCAGGGCCTGAAGCAGTACTTGGTGCCTGGTGCGCACACCATTAATTCACATGTAGAATCGAATGGATTGCACCACAATCTCTACTGCTCGAACCCTGATCTGAGCCACTCTCATCTCTAGCCTCGTCTACAGCAACACCTTCCCCATGGTCCAGTCTCTGTCCCCCAGTCCGTCCCTGACCCAGCACCACTCCAAAGGGGCTCGTCCCTGTCGACTTCTACCTCAGCTGCTAGAATGTTCTTGCTTCTCACACTGTGGCCCCCAAGCGCCTTCTCTCCTCATTCCCCTGCTGTCTGGGGTGGCTTCCCCAGTCACATGGATGCCCCCCCTTTCTCATCCCGTGGCTCTGCATTCTCATGTCATCTCATCAGAGCTTTGAGAGTTCCCCTCAACTGCCCCCTCCCATTTCCCTATTTTACCATTTTCATAGCACTTTTCATGTGTGAAAAGTGTCAGGACCTGAAGGGATATATGAGTTGAGTGATCACTGAAATCAGAGGCTCTGTATTGTTTGTTTTCTGCCTGTCTCCCATGCCAAACATCCGGGCATACAGCAACTTCCGTAAAGACGTGCTGCCTGACCGGGGCCAAGGTGAGCCTAAGGTGGAATGGAGAGAACAAAGCATCAATCAGATATTTGCCACCAGAGTACTCTCAAAACCAAGAAATATCACCCAATGAGAGCTTCAGGTCAGTGACTCATTGTGGAAGTCTCTTTTGCTTTTGTACTATTCATGTTTTCCTACGCCCAAAGTTTTATATTCCTTCTGTGTCATCATAAATTAAGTATATTAGTTTGCTCTTAAATGATAAACAGAAGTTTTTTATAGAGGATTATTTGGATGCAATCTCTTATGGCATCCAATGTGTGTTTGATCATATTGTAAGGTGTTAGGCAACAATTGATCGCTATCCTTTCCCACAGACCAGAAAATTCAGTACCCAATGAAAGAGCATGAAGACTCATAACCAAAGTTTGCCAAACTTTTATACTGTAATCAAAACAGACACTAGGAAAGAATCGGCTTCCCTCTGTCTCCTGCTCCCCGCCCCGCGCAGACCACTCAGTTAAAAAGGCACAGAGCTGGAGTGGATGGATTCTTCAAGTGAAAGAACTGCC